TTTCGACTTGAGGAACTACATATTGTGACTGGATTTTTAAAAGTTATTGGAAAGTACATTATTGGAAGTGAACTTGATCAGATATTGATAGAAGCAGGTGTTTACGGTCCCACCACCCTTGGACAGATTTTTGATGGAAAACATATGAAACGTGGAATGGAAGCATTCATGATTTTATACTTATCTTTAAACAAATTATGCTTGGATATTATACTTCTTTACCAATAGATTCGTGATGTAATTAAAAAACATGCGCAAGAACTCCCACCAATAATTGATAAGGAGTCTGCACAAGAAAGCTTTGAGCAAATGCCACTGTATTTCCAATCAAATCTAATGTGATGACACATTAGTTAAACAAGGCTTATATTTGCGTAATTTTATGTTAATGTATGAAATATTGCTTCAAATTGATTGAGCATCTCGACAAGAACATTGAAAACTTTATCTTGCGTCGCTTGATGCAATGATTGCCTACTTTTTCTCTCACGATCAATATAATTATGCGTGTCTTTCACCACAGTATCATGCTACAATGATTGAATTGAAAAAAATAGACACTAGCTCTTAGCAATATTTAAAAAAAATTTCACCGTCAACAGGTTAGGCATTCCTTTCTGTTATATTGGTTAGAACAGGAAAACAAGGTTTTGAAAGTAGCAGGAGGGGTGATTGGTATTACACAAAATTCAACGTTCTTAAACCGCTTTTGCCTTATTGCTCTTGCTTTAAACTCCATTTCAAAAATACTTTGCGAACAAAATTATATTGGATCACAATTTCGCAAACAACACTACTAACTGGCGGGATCTACAAACAAAAGAATTTCATCTGATGTAAAAAAAGTCATTAATTCACTTGATACATTTGGCATTAACTTCAACGAAAATCAGGTGGTTTTTAATCTTGTATCCAAAACCATTTTGCAAAAAGAAGTAGTAGATGAATTAGTTCATTATCGAAAGATCGGAGAAAAGCTCTACCGTTTTTTTATTACTGAAAGGTTAAAAGGAGATCTATATAGTCACCAATGAAAATGAGAAATCTGAAAACATTCCAAAATCAAGCCAAAGTTTCAAAAATAAAGATAGATAATAAAGTAATTCAACTCAAAGAAGAGCGCACCTTATTATCTCTTTTTTTACTTAGTGCAAGAAAACGCCCAGAACATGATTTGGAAAAAAGCATAAGTAGCTATGAGTTTTCAGTTGTACTAAAATGGGTGTTTACTCAAGATGGTCACCCATTGATCACCTTTGATAAAGAAAAAATTCTTCATGAAGCTGAAGACTTGTAAAAAAGATTAAAGGTTTCGACACAAGAACAAGAAATTTAAGGAAATGCATCAACTATCATTATTGATGACATGGCCTTGTTCAATAAAGTTCATAAAGATAACAGTATTAAAACTTGGAAGGTAATACTTATGTTATTTATTGTCTGTGGCAGTATTTTCATTCCATCACATCATGTGTATTGTTCACTGTAATAACTGTGTTTGTATAATTGATAAGTTAACTGACACCAACTTATAATATTTAAATGAATAGTAACATTGTAATATGTACCTTGATCATGCCTAATCGCACGATAATTATACACCATACACCATATCTTATGCAACATAAATACTCATATTTGTTTAATTATTCAGGATTTTGCTGCAATATCTATTAGCATTCTTAGAAAAGTGCGAAGTGATAAGATTGGTTCTTGACAGATACATTAAACATTCATTAAAGTTCTAGAACAAGAAAAAAACGCACCTCTGGCAATGAAATCAAATGTAAAGTAACTGATGACTCTATTATTTGTAATAAGTCGCTAAAACAATTATTGGGGCACATTGAAACAAAACAAGCTCTTGCCGAATACCTTGCTGAATATACAAAAAATAATATAGATAGTGCAGTTCGCTTCATTGTAACATATTCAAAAACAACAGAAGCAATAAGGAACATTTATCTGCAGAAATTATGAATCATGATCACCAATAGCAGTTGAGAAATAGAAGTTGAGCTCTGTCGTTGTAAAGAAGACTGTAGCAATAGAAGGTGCAAATGTTTGAAAAATAAACTTGTCTTAAAGGATGTAAAAATAATAATGTAGACGACCAAAAGGAAAACTATGACTGAATGTAGAGATTTATAAGACGTAATTTAAATTTTTCGTATTATTAAATACCAGCTTGTAAGCACGTTAATTTTAACATATATTTCCAAAATTTAGAAGGTTTTTGAGTTTAAGAATAAAATCTTAGAATATTTAAAGCTTTTTATTCAATAAATGTCTATAATTCTATTTATCTTACAAGGTTAATTGACTCAATACCGTCAATTAAATATTTTCCGGGATCCTTTTTTCTCTTCATTAAACGTTGTGAATTGTAAATACTATTTTGGTTTACATAATATATTTTACATAAACAATATCATATTATGATATTGTTTATATCTTTATACAATGCTAATATTAATATATATACTAGCTCAATCATTTCAGTTTTACTTAATTTATCTTTTATCTTGTGGTAATTTTTTAAATGAACCCCGGTTGGTAACTTACATATTGTCCTATATCTTATGAAGTAAAAATTTTCAACATTTGTTTTTTATATGATTTTGAAAGCTTATTTAATGCTCTTTCTAACGGTATAAAATATTTTTCAAATAACGATTAAAATAATTTTTTGCTATGAGGGCTTATCACGTCATACCAAGTGACTAAAACCATAAATATAAAGTGACTCCTGTCACTTTTCAAATCCTTTTCATACAAGGATCTCATATCAACAAAAAGTTTGCTTGTAACACGTATGTACACATAAAGAGTTTTTTTGAAACTTAGTGACCTGCACTATTATCTAGTATACATTCATCATAGCCAATGCTAGTTACGCGGATTTGCACCATTTCCCTGACGATAAGGGAATAATTTTTTTTCAAAATTTATAGTCATAAAAGTAATAAGATAATTGTAATAAAAAATAATAAAATAAAAATAACATATATTCGTTAAACTGTATTCGTTTTCTAATTTTTTACATCGAATTATTTAAAAAATAATTGAGCAAAGCAAAATAAGAACTGGACCGCTCCGATAACGACACAATTTATTTCCAGACCCCAACGGTTTAGGAACTGAAATAAATACTTGCTTAATATACAATCATATTTAAAATATTATTGTATAGATGACATAAGGATTTTGGGGCTTCACGATTTAATTTTATGCCAGGGCCCTTAGCCACCTTGGAGTGTATGAAAGTATTTATGAAAATCACAAGCATAGTGTATACATAAAAAAAATAGTAACGAAATACATATTGTTAACATGATATGAATTTTGAGATTTTAAAAGAGTACACAAAAAACATTATGCATTAGTTATAATAGCACATGCTATTCTTATTAAATGAACCAAAGCTAATAATTGAAAAAACTAAATTGAATAAAAAGATTGAACTCCAATAAAAAGATACACTCCAAGGTGGCCCTTAGCCACCTTGGAGTGTATGAAAGTATTTATGAAAATCACAAGCATAGTGTATACATAAAAAAAATAGTAATGAAATACATATTGTTAGCATGATATGAATTTTGAGATTTTAAAAGAGTACACAAAAAACATTATGCATTAGTTATAATAGCACATGCTATTCTTATTAAATGAACCAAAGCTAAAAATTGAAAAAACTAAATTGAATAAAAAGATTGAAGAATTTTAGATTATTACTCGACTAAATCGATTTTTAGTCGAGTAATATTCTCAAAATCCTTACTGTTCGATTTTTCAAGTCAACTAGTCGATTTAGTCGAAGTCGACAACAACATAAAAAAATATAGTTTTAAAATTTCATACATACTGAGTTAAATCAATGTTTTATAAACAATATATAACTTTGTTTTTTGTTTAAAGTCTGTTTATATTACGAACAATATAATATTGTCCGGTAACATCGACATTCCGTTCGAAAGAAAAACAAACCGTTTATAATTTCAAAAAAAAGGCTAAACATCAAAGCAAATACTTTTCTGATTTAAAAACATAAATTATTCTTTTTTAATTAATTTTAATCTTAATTAATCATTTTCTTAACCATATACTGTAAATATTTTTACAAGGTAAAAGTACATATACAAAAAAAAAATTGTTCAAACTTTGAAAGGAAGAAAAGAAATCATTTTGGAATGTTTTATTCTAGAGTTTGCTTGAAAATGTTTCTCTGTTCTTTTATGTTCCACCAACCTAATGAGTATTTCAATTTTTTCTCAATATCTTTTGGGATTTTATCCCCCACCACCACAAAACGTATTCTATTTTTTACACCTGTTGGACATCATCTACAAAAGATTGTTTTACCGTCGGATTTTTAAGCTGAGATTGGGATTGTCTATAAAATTTGACAACTTTTGTTTATATCCTAAATTTTAAAAACACCTTTTTTTAAAAAAGTCGAAAAAAAAGTATATACGCAGATATGGGAACGCGATAAAGGATGAGGAGGGAGGGGGAGGGGGATAGAGAGTTATAGACAGCGAGTACGTAAGCGTTTTGACTCTCGATCACTATCTCACCTGAAACCTGATTTTTTTTAAATTAAACAAAGCATTTTAAAAATTAGTTTCACGAGTTTAAAAGAATCAATATTGTTAAGTAACAGAGATTTGTCAAACTTTTTGTTTTAAATGTTTTGAGTAATTTGGAGACGTTGGAGAAGGAGGGGATTGATTTTGTATTTAACTATGTGTACGTACGCAGAGAAGGTATCGTTAAAAGCATACTGTACAAGAAAGATGGGTAGTAATTAAAATTTTTCTGAATTGTTTATAATAACTTGAGCTTTTTTATAAATATATAATTATAAATTATAAATATATTATTGTATAAAATTAATATTTATTTAAAAATATCTTTCGTAATTTTAGGGCAATTTAGTTTAATTTGACAAAAAAGTAAAATTTTTTAAATTTGGGACAGAACGGGAGACGAGTAATATATTTTACATGTAATATAAAATATTTTAAATATAAATAATACAACGTTTTGATAAAACTAAAAACACGAGCAAATATGTAAGGCTTTATTTTAAGATGCAACATCTGGATAATTATGAAAAAGATTACTATCATCTTCGACGTAAGTACCCAGGCCAAACATTTTTTGGTGAAAAGGTCTTCGTTTGCAGGCAAATTTTCTGGATAAAGCGTTTAATAAATAAGTGCTATTTACATGTTTATGTTTACAACAATGGATGCCAGCCAAGTCTATAGGATGCGCTTCAGTATTGAATATATAGCCTGAACTTCCCAAAAAACAATCATTATGAATACTTTCTGCTTTAAAATGCTCATCGCTGTATTTATGAATAAAGTTATCTTCATCAAAAAGCAGATACAAATATTTTGTCGTTTCCGCCAGAAAAAACGATTCCATTCGATCTTCTAACTCGTGCGTATTTACGTCTTTGATCTATTATGAAATAAAAAATAAACGTATAAAATGATTTTGATAAAAAATAAGTAACATATACGTAGGGAACGCAAAAGGGGTAAATAATTAGGGTGTTTCCCATTATTTTAAGGCGAATTTCATTGATTTTTCATGATTTTAATTTCATTTATTATAAGGCAGCCCGTCCTAAACAAAGATTAAGGTGAACTACGTAGACAAACTACAATTATTACAGTTAAAAATAGTTCTTAAGTTTTCATTTTAAACTCTATCAGCAATTTAATGTAATAACGCATTATTCTTATGTGCTCAATAAACCAATCTAGTAAATAACGTTCTGAAAAAAGAAACTAAATTATAAACAATACTAATCTGCAAGTAAATAACATTCTGATTATAAGAAACTGAATTATGAACACAAGTAACTTACAAGTAAAATTCAAAGGTCAAATCAAATTATATCTTAAAGAAGAAAACGATAGCCGTCAAATGCATCACTCTGTTTAAATCAAATTAAAAACAAACCACAACAATTTCTCAACCTCTTTCAAGCTGAAATACTGAAAGACAATATTTGAATCAAAATTACCTTATTTTAAATCTTTCTCTTAAGGATGGACAATATCAATATATTCAAAGAACAATTTTAAAGTTCTTAACTTTGTGTACGGAAGTGTGTACAAAGTATAAAATTTGTTTGACAAATATGATAAAAGTCTGATAAGTTAGACACTTTCCTTTGCCTAATGATTTTATTTCTATAAAAAAACTTACACCTTTGAAATAAGATAATTTTATATTGTACTTTGTTCATCAATAAAAATTGTAATAACTTTATTAAACAATCAAATATTAAAATTTGTAATGACTTTATTAAATTGAAGATGTACCTCATATTGTATATATACACATACCTCATATTGTATATATACATGCTAAAAATTTTCGTTAAAAAAACGGAAATGTATTCCGTTATTTAAACGGAAAGTATCCGTATGTCCATTTATGGATGTATCCATCCATTATGTACGGAAATTTTCCGTATTTGTAGCTAAATTTATAAATACGGAAATTTCCGTTGTATTAATAACTGAAAATAGATATAACATGTCGAACTGCCATTAGTAAAGATTTTTAAAAGTTATTTTTGTGTACACATTTATCTCCAAAAAGAAGTTCTGAAGTTTCACCTGTAAGGCGAAAAAAGTTTACCAAGCATTTTACTAATAAACTGTTCTGCTCTTTTTAATTTTAAAATTACATGAGCTTTGTTTGGTCCAATCAATCAATCAATCAATCAATATATTCTGAATTACTTGATTTTACAACTCAAGGATGTTTACAAATAGTATAATTACTAATGATGCGTAAACACCTAATAATAATGATGTTAATAATAAATATTAACAACTCTAAAAATCATAACGTTAACAATAATATTAACATTAACAATAACTATAATAATATAAATAATATTAATTACAATAAAAATAATGGTATTAATAAAAATAATGGTATTATTAATAAATAATGATAATAATAAAAATAAAGGTAATAACAATAATAACAATGATAATAATAACAATAGTATATTTAAATATATCCATACTTTAACACGCACACATACATAAATATAAATTCATACATACATATATGTTGCACATACGCTTATATATATACAAAAACACACATACATCCATACACATACACACATACAAATATATATATATATATATATATATATATATATATATATATATATATATATATATATATATATATATATATATATATATATATACACACAAACACATATACACGTATACTTATGTAAATACATACATAAACATACACACATGTTAACACACATACACACACACACATACCCATACATATACCCACACATGCATACGCACATACACATTCAATTATTGTACAAGGACGACAAAAAAGCTGTACATAAATGTAAAGATTCTTAAAAAAAAAGTATAAAAATAAAAAATATATTCAAGAGAGTATTTTTTAACAAGACTATTAACAGTGATATATTGCTTTTATTGATGTTATTATTCTAGTCGCTATCCAAATAGTATTTTTTTAATTTATTGAGAAAAATATATCAAGAAATTGAGTTTTCAGTTTTAAAAGAATGAAGAGATTGTTCCAAGCACTGGTGCACTGATGTTTAATTGATTCGCTGCCAAATTTTCTTGTCCTAGTATGATCTACAAAGATATTGTAGCATGAAGAGGATCTTAGGTGAGAACGTTTGTTACATATTTGAAGGAAAAAGTTCTTGAAGGAAATCGGAAGTTTACCATGAAGATAATCCCATACAAATAAACAATTTAAAAAAGTAATATTGTCGTTCAGCTTAAGGATTTTTGATAATTTATACAGCAGAGAAACATTGTCAAATAGGTAATTTTGAAAGTGAATCATTTTAAGGGCTTTGTTTTGAAACGAAACTAGTTGATTTAAGGGACTTTTTTTTATATCCTAAATTTGACACGCATACCTAAGGTGCAATCCAAATATGGCATGATAAATACTCATAAGTGTTTCAAAATTTACGAGATGTCTGATCTTGGCTTATCCCTGGATTGCTTAGAACGAGACTATGTTTAGTTGGATTCTTGACACGAGACTTGTGCATTCTGAGTTCAGTTTTAAGTGATTTTCAGTTTATGTAAGTGCACTCACATGACATGTTATATATAAAATGGATCATTTCAAAGCCAGGGAAAAAGTTCACATGTTAAAATATGTAGCTTAAAAATAGTAAACTTTAAAATTGCACTACCAATGAATTTCTGATTGTTTTAAAAACTTTTTATAATAATATACATTTTTATTATTATTTAATTACAACAACTTAATAAATTTAAGTTATCTACAAGTAAACATAAAAAAAATAAACTTAAACACAAATTTATAAAGATTTCCTAGAAATTACAACTATGATTAGAATACATTACTAAATTTATTTATTTATAATATTCATGCAGGGTAGTCATGCAGGACAGTAAAATTCTATATAAAATAAATACATCTGCTACCATTTTTCTTTATTGTTTCTGATTGTTTTTAGAGAAATTTTTATCAGTTCACTAAAAGATTTTGAGCGTAAACCTTATTTCTAGCAGCCCAACATTGTAAAAAGACTATATATAGTAAGTTATTATTGATACTATAGAATCAAGTGATGCTCTATAGTATGGATTAAAATTAAAAATAGTAATTGGTAACAAATAAATAAAAAGTGAAGGCCTAATGTTAATGCTTTAAAGGTATTGTTTGTTTTGTCTATTAATGTTAAATCATTCTGGATTTATTTTTCATTTCATATTTTTCTCTAAATTCAAGTGCTTCGGTGGAACAGAATAACTTTCAGAAATGAAAATTTGATGTATTTTTAGTTTATAAAGTATTTTGTCATTTAATATATAATATAATAAATTTAAGTTGTAGGTGTAAGGCTTTTATGTTCTTCATATTTTAGTATGCATATCTCTTATAGAGTAAATGCTAATGAAGTATTTATTTAATTACTAAAGTGATTTTTAGGTTCATTACTTTAAATGATGGTTTTATAGTACATTTATTTTTGTAAAACTAGTAATATTTTCTGCATATATATATATATATATATATATATATATATATATATATATATATATATATATATATATATATATATATATATATATATATATATATCAGGGGCTATTCTAGACTGTTTCCGACAGCGCTGACCATATTGGATGTGTTTTTTTTTTACAAGAAACATTGTTTTTTCTCAAAAAATTATGTTTTTTCAGAAAATATTGTTTTTTGGATAATATGGCTTATTTTTAGGAAAATAATCTTGCTGATCAAGTCAGTGTGCGAGGTGGCCCTGCTTACATTTTTTTTCTTGAATAGACCCTGTATTTATATATATATATATATATATATATATATATATATATATATATATATATATATATATATATATATATATATATATATATATATATATATATAAAACTAGCTGGATATATAACTTCCTACATATCCAGTTACTTCCAACATTAATTAGTGGTTGCTTGCAGCCTTGTTGAAAGCAAAGATGATGAAAAAAAAAAAATGTATATATATACTTATATACTTATTAAATATGTATATATATACTTATATATATATATATATATATATATATATATATATATATATATATATATATATATATATATATATATATATATATATACATATATATATATATATATATATATATATATATATATATATATATATATATATATATATATATATATATACATATATATATATATATATATATATATATATATATATATATATATATATATATATATATATATATATATATATATATATATATATATATATATCAGCATATATATATATCAGCATATATATATATATATATATATATATATATATATATATATATATATATATAAACCTAGCTGGATATATAACTTCCTACATATCCAGTTACTTCCAACATTAATTAGTGGTTGCTTGCAGCCTTGTTGGAAGCGAAGATGATGAAAAAAAAAATGTATATGTATACTTATATACTTATTAAATATGTATATATATATATATATATATATATATATATATATATATATATATATATATATATATATATATATATATATATATATATATATATATATATATATATATATAATTTAAATTAAAAAAATACAACTTTTTATGGAACTATTAGTTTCATAAAAAGTTATAAATAATATGGCTGAATCATGCTATTCGGCAATCATTCAGCCATATTATTCAAAATTTACAAAATAAAAAACCGTTTAAAAATACAATTTTTTAGCGTTGCAACGGTATCTGACGTCAAGTTTACTTTAGACGATATCAGGGGTTCCTAATCTCTGGTACCAAATTGTGAAAGCAGGATATATAACTTCCTACATATCCAGAAATTTTTTTCTATGCCTGCAACAAGAAACCAACTTTTT